ACTAATTCGAGGCGCAAGCCTCTGAGTGTCATGGTCACCCCTTTGCTACATGTACCATGCCTCTGGTACACCAATCTACCGTCAGCCAACTAGCTCCGGTCCCCGCCTTCTCTATCCTGTTTCTATCCCTAATACCAAGTCTATGATAAACCATGCCCTAGTCTCTTGTGTGTCAACCCACAAATGTTGTGGTACAGCTTGTTTTGATTTGGTTCAATGTTGAACCACAAGGTTTGTGGGTTTGAACACAAGAGACTAGGGCATGGTAAATCATATACTTGGTATTATTGATAGAAACAAGATATAGACAGCGGGGACTGGAGCTAGTTGGCTGACGGTAGGTCGGTTGTACATTCCCAATGGTATGGTACAGAGGCATGGTACATGTGGCAAAGGTGTGACCATGACACTCAGAGCCTTGCGCCTCGAATTAGTCACCCAGACACAGGTGAGGGCGAATAACACCTCGAGTAGGGCAGATGTGGTGGCAGGAGTCGAGTGAAATGGGTGAACAAGGGTTAGAGCAGACGGATTTTACGGAGCAAGACGGAGACTGGGATAAGACTAGGAAAGAGGACTACATAATAATAAAGCAGACTCTGGTCAACATTCCCTACTCAAGAATGAAGGCGGGGGTGAGAATGAGAGTTGGAGTGTGAAATTGTCATGTAGCTCAAAGGAGGACACCATACTATCTAAATAGACACGATAAAAATTGCAATATTGAAGGCATGATAGGATGCTACCGGAAATGCGAATAACCCAGGGCAGAAGGAGGGATACCGTAATTGTTTAGCATACGTTTGGTCAAAGGATCAGCTTCACTTGTCTCTTTGACGAGTTGTTGTATGGTGCTTAGGATGGCGATACTGACTGACGATGCCGGCGAAACGTTTGGGAATGTAACACGTCCACGGTTCAACTTTGTAAATGATCATGCAAACAATGGACTCTGGACTAGGTACGTTCCTCTAAGTCTTTCCTATCAATATGACCATGTTGCGAAAACAGCGTCAAACAACCTTTATGCAACGAAGGAGACTGCGACCACACAAAAGGCCACACCATCTTGGTCTTCATACCTTAAATTATATTTTATTGAAACTTACGGTCTACCGGCATTATGGGACAATTCAACCACCAGTTACCTTATCACCTTAAACGAAATAGGGTTAATACACCTCATATAACTGATGTACTTATTGGTAGTCTCGAAAAATTACGTATGATAAAGAAAAATATTCACTGTATTAGTCCTCCAGGTTTCCATTTTATTTTGATATTATCTCATTTGATATCTGCTTTTTATTATTGGTATATTTCTCTGTTGTATTCATTGTTACGAAAACTCCTAATACTGTTCAACTTCTCATCTCAGAACTATATGTTCCTTAATCTTAACTTTCTGTTGATCAAACTTCTTTTAATTCTGATCTTAAATCTGTAATTGTGATGAGACTCGAAATTGAGGATTATTTCTGTTGAAGTGAATGATCTCAATATATATGGAAAGTAGTCGCTCATCTTCCTCTGCTCCTATTTTGGATTTATCTCTTTTACTTAGTTTGCTCATAATATTGAACCTACTTAAATCAAGTAGAGCAATAACATTTTGAGGGATGACACACAAAAGATTAGAGCATAGGAAAACCACTTGACATTATGTATAGAAGCGCGAGTGTTGCAGTAGAGACCAGAGCCAGTTGGCTAATAGTAAACAGATTTGATCATAGACATGGTCAATGAATTAAAGGCTTAATCGTGAGATTTATCCAGCCTTTCGTTGCATATTAATTTCGATCCCTCGCAAGATAACGAATATGCTTTTTTAGTCGTTTTGGCCGATTTTGTAATTTCCTTGTTTTACGGAGATTTTATTCTCAATATATCTTAGTTTTTAGATTAGATGAGTTGTGTAAATTGGCAACTTATCATTGATGATACAGAAAGTGTTCTTGTTTATTAGACCCGATGGAATTAGTGCAACCCAATACATCAAACTCATGGTGGAATCGGTTATATTCTTAATTTCTCTGTTTATTCTATACAGTTATTGCTTTGTCTGAAGCCATTCTTTTTTCTAATGATATTCAAAAGATTACCTTTATATATTTTATTTAGGGCTTAGCTGAGCTGGCCATATTATTTCGCTTTTAGTATTAAACTATTCTGTCTATCTTTATATCCTCATTAATTTGTTATTATTTTTTGGGATTGGCGAGTATTTTTTAGCATGTTTCTTTTTTATTCTAATTAATTCACCTTATTCAACTGAGCTACTCACTA